AAGGCACTGCTTTAGGGAAGCTGCAGTCCCTGATCCTGCTGTCAGTGTCCTAGCTGCTCAGAGAGATCTTACTGTCTGCCTGTCAAGCAGAGCTGGAGTTGCTTGCATTGAATGCTTGGATTGAATGTGTTAGGGACTCACCTGAAGGTGCAGCTCTTGGTGTGGTCCTCAGCATCCTCATAAGGTAGGCAGCCACAATCCCCGACACTGCTGTCACTGTCCCAGCTGCACAGGAATCTCTTCTCTCTGTCCATTGTCGAAGGCAGAGATGGAGTTTCAGATAATTTGCATGCTCTCTGTTTCCTCACGTGTTGGGAAGCAACAGGCCCTGGCATTGCTTTCACATTCCCAGCTGCACAGGGAGCTTTTCCTCCTGTCCATGAGGCAGAGCTGCTCTTACTTCCTAGGGCAGCAAAACTGCAGAGTGGAAGCAGAGGACCTGAAATAGAAGGAGAGCTTGGGACTGTTCAGCCTTGAGCAGAGAGGGTTTGGGGGATCTTACAAATGTGTGTAAATAACTATGACAGGCATGAAGAAGATGGAGCTAGGCTCTTCTTAGCACTGTCCAGTGGCAGGACAAGAGACTGTGGACACAAAATTAACTACAAGTAATTATATGTAAACAGTAAACCCCATTTTTTTCCCCTGTGAGGGTGGTCAAACAATGGAACAGTTTTTCCAGAGAGGTTGCGGATTCTCTGTCCTTGGAGATACTCATAACTTGACTGGACTTGGTCCTGAGCGCTGTCTCCAGAGGTTCCTTTTCACCTTATCTGTACAGTAGCTGTAATTGGAAAAATGCTTTTTCCTAGTTGTTAGGTCAGAAATAAGTTTTGAGAACGTTAAGGAAAAACTGTTGGCCCATTGAGGCAAGTGTGTCATTGAAAGGCTAGCACAGTGCTGAGTTATTCCTGCCAAACTTGTCATGTCCTTATGCTGCAGTTCTGATTTACTAACAAGATTGGGCAGTAAGAGTAACACAACTGCTTGGTGACTGAAGTAGAGAGATGTAGGGTGCTTTATTACTGGTGAGGAGATGAAAAGCCATGAGCAAGTTCTGCACTGAGTAGATGTAGTAGGAGGTAAGGATTCTGTTATGTTGTGCGTGTACAGCATGAAGGCAGTAATACTACTCAGGCTTTCTGTCATTGTTTTTTAAAGGTTTTTGACTGTACTTAGGCCTGTCCTACAGGGGTTTTAGTATTTTGAGAACTGACAGCCTTAACTGTGTTCCAGATTACCTCATGCCTATAGCCTACACTGTTCTGCATATGAAACTTGGGAAATGATTAGCAGTTCCTTCAAAACCAAACAGTCCTTGTTTGATAGATATTCTGTACATGAATAAAATCTCCTCCTGGTAGCATAAATCACTAGGGCCATCCTACGTGCTATTGAAAAACAGCATCCCTCTAAATCTAGAAATGTGAAAAATGTCACACTTATGACAACTTTTTCCCTGTAATTCATTTTTCAGGGTGCTACATCATCCCCTTCAGACAAATTGGATTTCTCCCCAGGTGTGTCAGAAAAAACCCAGACTCCCACAGTGGCCCCAGAGAATGTCACTGAAGGTGGGATCATGCTGCTTCCCACTAATACTGTGCCATCTGAGCCTATGCAGCAGTTCACACCTCCTGCTACTGCTGCTAAAGCAGGTAATGTTTTGACTTAATAGGAGATCTGAGGGGTACCTTCAGGTTGGACAGTGGGTGGGGATGGCTTTACTACTGTCAGGGTTCCAACTTGTTGTTAGTATGAGCTCCCTCTTTATCCAAATGTTACATAGTCCCACTTTATGCCTGTAGACCGAGAGTAAAACTGAAAACCCCAGACCCTTTAACCAGTTACACGTGAGGTCAAACTCTGACCAAGTAATTTCCCATTAAATGGGAAATTACAACTTAAGCAAATATAGTAAAGTAAAAAGCAGGGATTAAGAGCTTGGTTTAAACAGGTTAATTTTTTTATACTTGGTGAGAAATACCTGAGGCTTTCTGGAGTGTCAGAATAGTCTCTTTTAGCCATACTGTTATTTTTGTGCAGCTCTTCACATTGATCCCTCTCAGAAACTCTCCAGTAGGCTTCCACTAGTTGTCAGATATCATGCAGCAACATAAGTTGGGACCTGAGGAAGCTCAGTCCTTAATAGGGAAGAAGACTAGCCCTTAGCAGCGAAGAACATGTCCTACTCACCCTGGGAAAAGAAAGTTTTGCACTAATTTCAATGATCAGACTTTCAGCTGCAGAGCAAAATTTTTTATTTTCAAAAGGACGTTTAACGACTTGTGTCCTCTGTAGTTGTGTTAAATTCTGTGTGTATGTTAGAGTACCTCCTTTGTCCTTCTAAGTTTCCTGCCTCCCTGCACACCATGACAAAGGGTTCAAGGGCTACAAGAAACAGAGAAGCATAGATGTGTTTTTTTTCTGCAATCCTGATGTACTCAGGGGTATGGAGAGCTAAGCCCTTTGCTTCCTAGTAGAGCAAGTCTGGTTTGGAACATTCTTGGCAGCCTCTGCCAAACTACAGACTGTATTTTGGCAGCCAGGATAGTAATGGAAGGTAACAGGAAGAGATGCCAGCCAGGATAGTAATGGAAGGTAACAAGAAGAGATGAGCTACAAGAGATCCCTCTCCAAGGAAAATGGATCATCATTACCATTGACTGTTGACTAGGCAGCTCCTCCTCCTCCTCCTCCTCCTTCACACTAGGAGGTTGAAGAGGACTCAAAAAGGAGTTTGGAAGAAGAAGCTGAAGGAAAGGTTGTGATGAATCTCACTGTAAGTACTGCTTTATACAAGGATTGCCTCAAGTTTGTGTGTTCTCAGCCATACTGTCTTGGAAGTCTCAATGACAGTCCCTCCTTCTCTCCTTTGGTCATTGCACTCTTCTAGCCATTTTATTCTAATGTCATGTGGAAGTCCAAGTGCAAACCTCCACTCCATGGGTGTCCAGGGCAACTCCCATGATCAATTTGTGGAGCCTTGGGTGACTTTAACTAGCAGTGACAGAAGATGTGCTGTCAGTGTGGCCTCTTCACTTCATCCATTTTTAGACCCATCAGCTGCCACTGCTGACTAGCCTCTTGCTCATTTATTCCAAGTTTGTAAGTTGGACGTTTAGACACCAGTGAATGTTGCTTTTGGAGAACCTTTGTTCTCTGGTTTCCCAATATTAAAAGGAAGACATTTAAAACTTTGAAATGCAGGTCTGTGGGAACCTTCCTGAAGTTGTGCTTTGGTTGGTTTCTGATGGGGACTGTGTTTGTGTACTTTGACATTTTTTGGAAGAGGAAAGTTTTCACAGGTGAGAACTGGAGAGCAAATGGATTGAATATGCAGCTCGGGTACAAAAATAACACATTTGCCCTGCTAGGCAAGTTGATTTTTCAAAAAGAACACTGAAATGGACATTGAAGCATGCCTTACAAGTCCCACACAAGCAAATAAATAGTGCTTCTTGGTGAAACAGTGTGTGATACTAAAATTCTAGTATGAGCTATGTTACTTTATTTAATGACGGTTTTTTTCTAGTTCAAATAGCTTTTTTGTCTTCTGTAACTGCATATTTTTTAATATCTGCACTTCCATCCAGTTACTGAGAAAAATACATTGTTCTTTATGCAGAGCAGTGTTACCTGTAATATATAGGAATAATCAGACTGCTTTTCTCAAAAAAAAAGGTAAAAGAAATGACACTTCATAGTTGGGGAAGAAGAAAAACTTTGGTTTGGTAAAAGGTGAGGAAACCATAGTCATTATTATAACAGATTATTATGTATTGAGGAATTTATTTACTTATCCTTGCCTATTCCCTGTATAGTGTTTGTCAAATTTTACTTAATCCATTACAAATAATATTTGAAGATAATAAATTTATATCAGTTCCATCTCTTAAAATGTAATGTACTCATTCTGCCCTAGATACAGTAAAAGAACTTATTGTGTCTGCTGGGGATAACATCCAAGTGATGCTACCCAAAAATGAGGTTGAACTGAATGCCTTTGCTGTCCCACCACCATCTGCAGGTGAGTTGAATGGTCTTGGCATACAAGGAGTTGCACACACTACCAACCTGTAGATGCACACAAGTTCTGAGTTATGTAAATGTCCACACCTCAGGATAAAACAGTTTTTTCTCATTTCCTACTACTAACACATTGGTGGCTCTAACTGCAGGGAGGATTTTCTCCTTTGGGTTTTAGTGATGAATTTTTTTAAGTGGCTTTTATTTTCAGAACCCAAACTCATTAGCCAGATGGTTCAATAGAAACCCTGTTGTTTCTGCCAAGTGATGATGTTGCCCAGTTTATAGCATCTTGCTTTTAAGCAGTGGGGGAAGTGGAGTAGGTAGGTTTGGAATGCAGCATTTGCCTTAAAACATTGGCACAAAATAATTCATATTTCTTAGGTAGCTGTGTAAAACACATTCACTTCATGTGAAGCTGTTATTTGTGAAGTCCATTATATCCTTGCTGCTTTTCCAAGTTATAGCACACCAGAAGTTTAACATGTATTCATACTGCTTCATTTTGCAGGCTTAAACAGTAGCAACCATGTTTTCCTACTGTAGCATTTTATCTGATGGATTGTGAACTTGATTTCTTGGTTTTCTGGGTTTATCTTGAAGGCAAAGCTGATTACTCTTACTCTTCCTCTTAGAAACAGCCTACACCTATGAGTGGAGCTTAATCAGTCACCCTGCTGACTATGGTGGAGAAATGGAGCGCAGGCACAGCCAGACTTTGAAGCTCTCTCATGTAAGCGAGCTGTAAGGTCAGGCTCATTGCATTTGTGTGGTTCTTTCACAGGATTATAACCTGTGGGGAAGGGCACCTTGATTCAAGGAGTTCAGATGAATGCCAGAGTCTTTTCACTTGGGTGTGTCACCAAATCTATGCCAGATTAAAAGTGTCTTTTTTAGAGTGCCCTAATAATTTTAAGACAGTAAAAATTTTGTGTTTACTTTGTATTTCCCACTTCCAGGCAGTGGGACTGCTGGCCTTTGTCTGTGTGTTTATAAAAATAGCTTGAGGATTCAGATACCCAGATTTTTCTCTGTTTGCTATATGATTGTCAGATTTATGCACACTGCTTCTGTATAATTCAACATGTAACCTTGTTTGTTCTGTGTTTGTCTCAGTTATCAGTGGGACTTTATGCCTTCAAAGTGACAGTTTCTGGAGAAAATGCCTTTGGTGAAGGTTTTGTAAATGTCACAGTCAAACCAGGTAAATCAGTTGGCTGAAATAATTAATTTCTTCAACACAAGTAGTTGTACAGCATACTTATCTAATAGTCTCTCAGTTACTGTCTGTCAAGGCCATCTAGCAGTCCAGTCATGCAGATATGTTTTGTATCTTGGTGTCTATAAAGGGTTTTAAGGAAGTAGAGTTAAGGATCTTGCTCACTGCACATTTAAGTGTTCTCTGGTCTTTCACCCTCCTCAGGCAAAGCCTGAGATAGCATTATGCCACCTTTTATTGTCCCCTTCTCCAGTACAGCTAGGAACAGCAATTAGGTGCTGATCTGGCTCTGTCTGCAAGTTACAGCGCACAGGTCTGATCTGAATTATACCAGTTAGAAGCAGCTGCAGCAGCAGACTGCTGTGTCAGCACACTGCTCTTCAGTAGCCTTTTCTCTCCCTTGTCCAAAAAAGGACAGCAGATGCTGCAAAGCTGCCTGTCCTAGATTTATACAGTGGGGACTGTTGATCTGTAGACTTAATGTTAGTTTTGCCTGGACTTTTCACTACTTCTTTTTTTAATTCCTTACTCTTTTTTTCTTCCCCCATGTTTCTCACAGCTGTCAGAGTTAACCAGCCACCTGTTGCTATTGCTTCACCCAAAGTACAAGAAGTCTCTTTGCCTACAACTTCTACCTTCATCGATGGCAGTCGTATGTACTGGACCATCCTGCACTTATGTCCTGTATTTTTAATATTCAGTTACAACATTACTGTTCATCAATTAAAAGTGAAATTCCTTTTTCTCACTCTTTTTATAAGTTCCCTGAATCATGATTTATTCTGGGGATTTGAATCCAGTTATAAATTATTTTAATCACTTTTTTATAATGATAAAATGCAATCTTCCATCTGGAGATTGACATGCAGTGTGTTGGAGGCTGCTGCATCCAAAGAGCAGCTACTCTTATAGCTTCTTCCTGTCCTGCCCAGAGGGCTTCTGTGCCAGTACAGCTGGGGCCGTGGTAGAGAGCTGTCACATAGAGTGTGATGAGATAGTGGAATCACATTCATAATTACTGAGAGCAGAGATGTTGGAATGTGCAAAGTCTGATTATTATTTTTTATTTTATTTGTGTACGTGAAGAATTGTTTGTTCTGATAAATCATGCCAGAGGTAGCTTGGAACCTGTGGTATTTGAACCTTGCTCAAGTATACTTAAAAAGACAATTGTAGAAAACCAGTTATGGATAAGTGCGTGAGAGACTTTAGTATTCATTCTAGCAATTGCTACAAGACGCTGATACATTTTTTCTTTAATGAATGTAGAAAGTATAGATGATATGAAGATAGTGAGTTATCACTGGGAGGAAATTAAAGGTCCCTTGCGAGAGCAGAAGGCATCGGCTGACACACCTGTCTTGCACTTGTCTAACCTTGTTCCTGGAAACTACACTTTCAGGTACCTGCATAGATATTTTCCTTTTGGACTTTCACTGTTTCTGTGATATCAGCTAAATATTTGTTTGTCTTTGTGCTCACATGTGCCTCCTCAAACAAAAATTCCATTTCTCTTCTGCATGCTGTTACCCTTCATTTTGCATAGTGGAGAGACATAGGGAGCAGTTTTATTATAAAGGGCTTGCAGTGATTTTGTGATAGGAGTGTAGTGATATTTTGCAGCGCAAAGTTATATAAAAGAAGATATTGTAAATTAAATGCCTCCCACTTCCAGTAACAGCTGTGACAGAACGTTGGGGGTTTTTTTTCCCTCGCATAGAAGTTGGCAAGTGTCCTGAGATGAAACTACGCAGTCAGACTGTGAAAGTCATCCCCTGAAAGGTGGTGGCAGACAGAATAATATTGGCAGACTGATCCTCACAAGACATTATTTTGTGCTGACTTAACCAAGAGTCATTTTGTTCTTCATAAAAGCCTTTGCCCTGCTACTGGTTTTCCTCCATTTGTGCATTGCTGAAACTGGATTTTGTCCAAACAATGGCAGCAATGTTTGTGGTTTGGAGTGCTTTAGTTAAAATCAGAGTCCCTTTTCTGAACTTTTTGACTAACCTTCACAGAGGCAGACTTCCCACTGACCCAGCCTGGGTCCTTTGGCCACCAGTGGGTAGCAGCCTACCAGTCAACATATTACGTATCTGTGTAGCATCAGCAGAATGTTGAAGCCAGCATACGTATATTTTAGAAGTGGTGGTTTGCATAACCTTTGCCAGAAGTTCTAAAGCTTCTGCCTTCATGCTGTGTTCTTTACTGGAATTGTTCCATACTGTACAGTAGCAGAAATGAGTGTGAATTTTTTTCCATATTGAAAAGGGCAAAGCTTTCTTAGAAGCAATGTTTTAAAGTGTGTTCCTAGCCCTAGGGAATTAAAAAATCAGTTGCTATATCTCCGCAGCTTTGGAGACGGCTGACTTGAACAACAGTGCAGTGTATCAAGTTTACAAGAGCTTGATCTTGTTTGCAAGAACTTGGTTGTTACTGGTCAACAAAATCCAGTACTCCTGATATGCATGGATGTGCACTCATTGCAAAAAGTATGAGTTCCCTAACAACAGAACAGCTGAGCACTAGTTTTGCTCCCACTCAGGTTCCCTTCCATGTGTTCAGTTGTATGCAGTTTTCACAACAGAGGTGGATTAGAGATTCGTGGATTACCACACTGCAGAGGTGTCTGCAGCAGTCTCATTTTAAGATGATTTTAGTTTTGTGTTTCTCAGAGGTAATAATCTTTGGGTATTTTTAAACCCTGTACTGTTTTAGATTTGTGACTTGATATTGATACTAAGCTCCATTAAAATTAGTGATAGTGTACCTCAAGAAAATAAGAAGTTAGGATCTGCTGCTGTGCTATAAGCAGAGCTTCTGAACATCCAGAGTGGTTTTGCATATAGGTATTAGCAGGGACTCTTGCACTATGGCTGATGAATGAAATCCCTGTTTTTTACCAAGTACGTTTTTAAAAGAGTTTCCAATGAAATTTGTTTGAAATTGGTGAAGTCGCCATTGACTGCAGGCTAAGGGTTTCATCTACAATCCAGGATAGCTAGGCTTTTTTTTTTTTCTTAAAGGTTGCAAGCTGTGTTGGAAAACGGTTTTCAAAATTTCTTTCCTACCTCTTTTGAGGGATATGTGCATCTGAAACACAAGTATGTACCATCTAATCAGTGACTCTGTTTTAGGTGGTGTTTGAAAAAGTGCCAAAAAAAATTAGCCTGTGAATCTAGAACTTGGCAGAAGGCCATCTTAACAGATTTCCAATATTTTTCCTGTTGTAGACTCACAGTGATTGATTCAGATGGAGCAGCCAACTCTACCATTGCATCTCTGACTGTCAGCAAACCAGTGGATTACCCACCTATTGCCAATGCAGGACCTAATCAGGCAGTCACGTTGCCTCAAAACTTCATCACACTGAATGGAAACCAGAGCAGTGATGACCATGAGATTGTCAGCTATGAATGGTCGCTCAGTCCCAAAAGCAAAGGCAAAGTTGTAGCTATGCAGGTATGTCTATTTCTCCATGCATAGGATTGGAAAGCTTGTTTATCTCTAACACAAGCAGACATACCAAAGGAACTGCTCAGAAGCACTGAAATGTCTAGCGTGATGTAACTTTTTTTTGTTGTCATCTCAGATGTATTTATTTTAGATAATACTTTTATTTCCTTATCATAATATTTTTTTTCATTCTTCGGGGCCAAACACTATTGTTTGTTCCCTGGTGGTTCAAGTTCACAATGTCTGTCCCTGAACCCTAGAGCCTGCTCCACAGGTTTCTATCTTCTGAGGTACTGAGCATGCTGAAAACTGGTTTTGGGAGAACATAGGGGTAGTCAGAGTTTTCTTGTAATGCTTTCTTGCGGAGAAAGTAGAACTCCAATAGAAACTTAATTTTCTGAGTGAAAGATGGCAAGATCTTTTGGCAGTGTTATGCAGCCATGCTTTTTGGTGGGTTTTTATGCTCACTAAAACATGGGTTTCCAATGAATGCTTACTGAGTTGGTTTTCTTATTTTCATGGCTGTTTTTTTTTTAAATCTGAGAAAAGGTAATAAACATTTTCAGTCAACTTGCACTCAGTAAGGTGGAAATTCTTACAGCTCTGTAGGCAGTTGAGGTAATTAGTGTAATGAAGCCAGCTGAAACTCATAAGCCATTTTTTATGAGAGACATGATTTCTGCTATGTTGGCAAATGCTTTAGACCTTCAGAACTGGAAAGACATCACTTTGTAGATCTATTTAGGAAAGGAGTAATATCAATGCAAGCTTACACTGTAGAGGCAATTACAAAATTATGGAAGAATTTACAGCATAATGGCTTATTTCTGTTCATTTACCAAGACAAAATCTTTCCAAAACCATCCATGGAAATGGAACTCACAGTTTTGAGAGCTTCAATCTTAAAGCAGCCTTCCTGAAAGAAGGGAGTGACTGCTTGAGATATCCAGCGGATTCATTGGGTATTTAATGTGGAAATACCATTGCATGTTAAAGTTTCTTTTCAACAGGCTAGTAATGTTTTTGTACCTAACGCTGAGGATCATAGAATCATAGAAAGGTTAGACTTGGAAGAGGCCTTGAAGATCATCTAGTTCCAACTCCCCTGCTATGGGCAGCGATGGCACTCATTATACCAGGTTGCTCAGAGCCCCATACAACCCGGCCTTGAAGACTTCCATGGATGGGGCATCCACAACTTCTCTGGGCAGCCTGTTCCAGTGCTTCACTACACTCTGAGTAAAGAATTTCTTCTAATATCTAATCTAAACCTGCCAGCTTTCAGTTTGAAGACATTCCCCCTTATCCTGTCACTATCTACCCATATAAAAAATCCCTCTCCCTCCTTTCAAGCCCCCTTCAGGTACTGGAATGTGCTATAAGGTCTCCCTGGAGCCTTTTCTTCTCCAGACTGAACAGCACCAACTCTCTCAGCCTGTCTCATGGGAGATGTGCATTAGCCCCCTGATCTGTCTTCATGACCCTTCTCTGGACTTGTGCCAGAGGGTGCTGGTTTCTGGTGTGTTACATAGTATCTGTTGTTAGAGTGCAATGTAATTAGTACCTCTGCTGGTTAGTTGACTGTTTATCCAGTCCCTTTGTTCTCATTGTCTTTATCCAAAAAAACCCCAAACCTAACTGCGTTGTGATTTGCTGTTCCTCATAGGAGAGATGCCACAAATGTTCATTTTATTAGCAAAAGGACCTATAGTTGGGCCCAGTCATTTTATGAGCTTACATAGATACTAGCTAATATTTCTGGAAGAGTAAACTCAGTACAGAGTTGTCTTGTTTAATATGTTCTTTTCTATAAACCTGTTTCTCTGGGTTCAAGTCAAGCTTGGTTTTGTGTTTAACAATTTTTATAAATACTGAAGAATGTCATGGTATTTGTTTTTAAAATATCTTTAAGAAAATGGAATGAGCTGTAGAAATTTTCATCAGTCTTTAATTTGCTCATGGAGATTGTTAGTGTCCAATGTGTTTTACAATTATTGTTCAGAAGTAATGCAGTAATTATACCAACAGAAGAAATTAAGATTTATTTTCTATAGATATTTCTCTGGGTTGGTAGGGACAGTTGCAATAGTGAACACATTACATCTGTCTGTGTGTCAAATTTTAAGCCTCCTCTTTGTAAGGTGCTTAAACTGCTTGCTCAAACACTGCATTTATGAATTAAAGCAATTTTTTTCCTCACATTTTCTCTGCAAGGCCTTTCATTATCCATGAACATTTCTGTTTTGTCTCATGCTCTGTCCTTATGCTGTGAAGGGAGTACGGACACCGTACCTCCAGTTATCTGCAATGCAGGAAGGAGATTACACGTTTCAGCTGACTGTCACAGACTCTGCGAGGCAGCGATCCACAGCTGAGGTCACACTGATCGTACAGCCTGGTAAGTCAGCTGCAAGCACGTCTGGGTCCCCAGGGTGGGCCAGCCTGATGTCAGTGCTGTTCTCAAAATGCCTCATCTCCCTGCACTGCACCACTGAGATGGCAGTCTGCTTGTCTGGTATCCCTGGATCAAGGACTCTTTCCACCTCCACTTTCTGTCAAAGCAGATAGTTAAAACGAGTGTAGAGTCACAGAAAGTCCAGGTGGTGATCCTCAGGGCTCACACCAGCATGATTATGTAAGGCAACCTGCACAGAGATCTGTTTGAGTGTATTTCTAAAGCTAAATTGAAACTCTTGAGTTTAATGCCCTACAAAGTCTGTTTGGAAAGCTGTTCAGGTATCCATCAATGCTTTGCTCAGTTTTTGTACTGTTTTTCAGTTCTCTTGCAAGAGTCCTTCTGTGATTTGAATTCTCTCTAGAATTACATTGTGTTTTCTAGGGAAAAGTGTCAAGCAAAGAATTTTCAAAAGCTGCATCTTTCTCAAGTTTGTATAGGTTTGGGAGTGAATGAGCCCAAACCATCCAGGCCTCATGAGATTTTAAAAAAAAATTTTAATGCCTTTTTTTTTTAATGTGTTTGCCTATTATTACATCCAAAGTGGCCTTTTCTGCCTATGTCAAGGTCTCATATTCCACTGTGGGACTATGCTTTATCTTCCTGTTGTCACTTAATACACATCTTTTTATAGATGATCCCTTCTGGGACAACTTTACAGCAGGCAGTTGCTGCAGAAATCAAGAACATGAATTGGAAGCACAGTGTGTGATGGTGCCTTTTAAACCTGTTATAGTGTGGAGCTAGAAAGATGCTATTGCCGAAGTCAGGCCTAAGGGTAAATAAATACCCAGGCAAATGGTAGCATTGCCAGTTTTACCATGCCACTAAACCAGAGGCTGAAAACAGAGTAACAGGTTATATGTTTCTGCACTAAGTCCTCAAAGGCTCTGAATTGGCAATAACTTAGTGGTGTCATTCTGATCTTGAACAGCAGGAAACATGGGTCAGGATCTTTGAGGGCAAAGAACCATATTTGAGTGAAGGAGGTTTTGAAAGGGCTGGAGTGGTGGAACCAGGAGAATACCGCACCACTGTTGTTATATAGCATTTCATAAAATGCATTGAGCATGCAGGAAAATTTTGGGAGTGTGACTGTGCCTTCAGGTGGGACTGTGAAAAAGGGAAGTACTTGCTGTGGGATTTGGCTTGTTGCAAAGCTGATCTCTCCCATCTGCTGGCTTGTGCATGTTATGCTTGTGATTTGTACCTTCTGAGTCAATATATCAAATTTTTAATATGATATTCTGTGTCAAATCATCCCTCTGATTGACAAGCCTTGCCAGTGACTACCTAGCAAATGTCGTACACTAAATACTAATTTTGCAGAAAATAACAGTCCTCCAATAGCAGTGGCTGGCCCTGACAAGGAATTAACCTTCCCAGTAGAAAGTACTACACTGGATGGAAGCAAAAGCCAGGATGATCAAGGCATTGTCTTCTATCATTGGGAAAATATCAGGTATCTAGAGCTTTTACTAATCTCCAATAAAATAGAGAACAAAGTGAAAGTGCTAGAGCCTTTAATGCAATTGTGTTGAGTGATGCACTGTTTGAGAATTGCTTTCAGAACTTTCACACTTGGGTGGTAATGGGGTAAGAAATAGTAATTTTAAATTCAACCTGAGAAGCTTAGACAATCTCTGCTTATGTTTTGAAATGTGTTATTTTATGGCCTCCTGTTACAAAGTTTGAGAAAATGACAGGAACTTCTGTGTCTCCTCTTAAAGCAAGTAACAGTAGCTTCCTGTAATGTACAAAGTTTTGTCATTAGTGCTTAAAACTTGGTTTTCTCAGTTGATGGTTTATTGAATAATAAAGTAAATTTACAGTCACTTTAGCCTGAACTTTCAGTAGTAGACTAAAGCAGCCATGAGTGATGATTGAAAACGTTTTACAAAAGTTTGTAATTGTATGTTTATGTGCAGACCTAGCTGATCCTTAATAAAAGGACAAGGTATTAGTTCGTGCAACTATCATACTTGTGGTACAGGAACAGGTTTGCTGGCAGCCTGTAAATGCTGTGAGTGGTTCTTAGGGCAACGGCGTTTACATGCTCCCCTGAAATAGTACAGCAGTAAGGTTGAAGTTCTGGGGTGCAGAACTTGGAATCTGGGACCCTGATTCCACTCTTCTAATAACTGGGTATGAGGTGCTTGGGTGCTTTGAATGTCTTGAAAAAATCCATTTATGAATTCTCTAAACTTAAACTCATGTCTCATATAGTTCTTTAGCCATCAGTGCTTATAGCAGTTGTAGAACTGCAATATATAAAAGCAAATGGCATGAGAAATGCAGCTGAATGAACAGTTTGGCTCGCTGTACAGGATTATTTTTCTGAGATGTTTCATTTCAGTGGACCAAGCTCTGTACAGATGGAAAATGATGACAAAGCAATAGCAACTGTGACTGGTCTTCAAGTTGGTACCTATCGCTTCAGGCTGACCGTGAAAGACCAACAGGGCTTAAGCAGTGCATCTGTGCTGTCTATTACTGTGAAGGAAGGTAAGCCTAGTTGCTGCTTGAGCAGCTTGCCAGTTAATTCAATCACTGACAGTCTTATCAGTTTTGTTCTAAAGAAAAAATTCAGTGATGTCTGGTTTCTGAAAAGAGAAGGTGTTTGGCTTATTTTTTTTGTCAGCTGTTCAATGAATGCCTTAGTTTCACTGCTAGAGGTAAGCAAAAAGCCTTTAGGAACTAGATTTACTTTTAAGTTTTCTGATTACAGTTGGCCAAAATACAGACATTGTGAAGATGCAACATCTTACAGAAGCTTCAATTGGGTGTGATTCTCCAGATGAAAAGATTCCAGCATGGCAATCTCATACTGGACTGTTTCTATGTAGGCAGAAAGTCTTTTTGCTTGACTGAGAAGATCTAATGTTCAAGTTACTGTAAGACTGTAAAAAGAATATCTCACAATGCTTTTTAAAAAATATCTTTTTTCTCATGGTGCAGCTCTGCTTTTGTTAGACTCTAGTAATCCTGGAGCCAAATTTTGTAACCCACTCATCCTTTCCTTGTAGCTTTGATATGAGGTTCTGTTGTTATTGCCTGTAATCATCAGGTAAAGAATTGCAGTGTGGGTGTATTGGCAATGGCATGTCACATTTCTCATGTTTTGAAAGCAAATCCTTCTCCTCCACTATTTTTATGGCTAGAAAACAACAGTCCACCCCGGGCGCGTGCTGGTGGGAAGCATGTTCTAGTCCTTCCAAATAACTCTGTTACCTTGGATGGCTCAAGGTCTGCTGATGACCAGGGGATTGTGTCATATTTGTGGACTCGGGATGGTCAAAGCCCAGCAGCTGGGGTAAGTGTCATGAAGGTAGCTCACATTTGTCCCAAAAGTCAAAGCAAGAACTCACGCTGTTACACTGGATAGGCAATTTGATAGTCAAACCCGCAACTTTCTCTGAGTGTAATTATGCCTGTACTTTTTTTTTGCAGGATGTGATCCATGGGTCAGACCATGAGGCAGTACTGCAGCTAACTAATCTGGTGGAAGGAACCTATACTTTTCACTTGAAAGTGACAGATGCTAAAGGAGACTCAGATGTTGATTCAGCAACTGTTGAAGTGCGGCCTGGTATGACAATTAAAAGGTCATCGATACGTTGTGAATACCACATCTTTGTTCTCCTTTTCACTTATTTCTTTAGATGTTGGCAAGATTCTCTCAAAACACAAAGCAAACAGGTCTCTCCCTATCTCACTGTTCTCTGAATAGACCTGAGTGTGGTAGATAATGATGTCAGGATTCTTAACTACTACAATCATCTTGGGAGCATAAATAAATAAAAATTATACTTAATATTTTCATTAGGCTTTTGTTGCTTTTCATTCACTGCAGGTTTTTTTGTTTCTGTTTGTTATTCAGTTTGGCCAATAGAAAGAGATGGGAGGTAAATGTTATGTTTAGGCACAAGTGCTGCAGATGTGTTTGATGGTTGAAAGTGTGTCTTTGTTTGTTTACCTTTGTTCATCCTGAAGGACAAAATCAATCCTCAGAGATTTTCAGGGGGTTGTAAGCTGTATTTTCATGCTTTGTTATTGCTTGTTATATAAACTTGTTTTATTTGCAAGGAACTCTAGAAGTTCAAGTACTGTTTAACAGAACCCTCAGTTTATAAGGGTAAACATATCTGTTATTTCTCAAATTTACCATCCTCATTTAGACCTGCTCTCACAGTCTTGCATGCTTATGAGTCCATCTTTGGCTTCCTGTCCTGAGTGGTAATGAGTAGTAGATTACTAGCAGGGAACGTGGGAATTAGGTTCCCCTAGTGCTTACCTCTGACATTAAGATCACACCGTTTAGAAGAACAGAAGTTGGTATTCTGCACTGAAATGTGTGAACACTGAACTGAAGTGCACCCTGAAGTATATTTCTATTGATAAGATAGGTTGCTATTGTAGGACCCACCAGGTTTGTTTCAGAGGGGATGTGAAAATATAGGCTAAGTACTTTCCTAAGAACATGAAAGAGTTGACTTAGCAGTGTATGTGGCTTATGCAGGAAAATATAATACTAATAAATACTTTCAAGTACTGCATGTTGTCTTCAGTTGGTAGTGCAATATTTGCCAGGCTCTGAAGGAATAGTGTGTTCTTCTTCTGTCAGATCCCAGAAGGAATGGTCTGGTGGAGCTGATTCTGCAGGTTGGAGTGGGACAGCTGAGTGAACAGCAGAAGGACACTCTGGTGAGACAGCTGGCTGTACTGCTGAATGTTTTGGATTCAGATATCAAAGTTCAGAAGATACAAGCCTACTCAGATATAAGGTACAAAGATGTCCTGCTGCGGCAGAAAGATTTGTGATTTTCTGTGACTCTTTGATAGCTCATAATTAGTTGCAAAATAATCTTTTCTAAGATGACAAAAATGCTCTACTTCTCAACGGAATATACTTTGAACGGTGAATTCATTCTGCAGTAGAAAACAGTGAAGTAAGCTCTGTGGGGGCTCAAGACTGAAAAAATTTTAAAAATTCTGTACAAATTTTTGTATTTATTCCTTTAAAGAAAGTGCATGCATATATATTTCAGTGTCTTTGCTGCATACAGTGCTGCTCTTTTTTTTCCACAAATGCTGGGTGGAGTGAGACAGACATGCTTTCTCACAGTTAAGCAAGTATTGTATTTCAAAGTAAGGTTCTAGCTCTGTTTGATCAAATCTATTTTATTCCCCTTTTTTCTACTTTTTCTCTAAGGTTTTGATATTCTTAATATTTTATAAACCTTCTCCTATGTAACTAATTGGTGATAAAAATCTGTTTTTTCAGAGAAAACTCCACAGTGGATTCTCCTGTGTGGTATTTTACTGTGAAGTAGAAATACTCCCTCTACTTGGTGTAAAGAGCTAGAGATGGCTGTGCATACCCAGAGAAACTTCTCAGCATAATTTGATAGAACCTGTTGACATGAGTTATCCTTAAATTATTTCTTGTTAGCTGCATGGTAATTTAAAACCCATTTGGGTGTTTATTTAGATCTTGATGAACCTCTTAAAATTTAAAAACACAGTATGGAAAAATCTAGGATTTATAGCTATGATATTTTTAATTACAGTTTTTCAGATGTAAATGTTCCCTGAAGTGTCTGATACAGGATGAGATCACCATTACCCAACTTAAAAATTGTAGGTGATTTGCAAAGAGGGTTTCCACACAAAGCTTTTTCCCCTATTTAATTCAGTTTTTTTAAGTCAGTGAAATTGCTTTGGAGTGCTTTGTGACAGGTTATATGTGAAAGTGGAGAAAGCAAATCTATTAATACTTTTTAATGCAAAAGCCAGGAAGACCAAGGAGAGAATTACATTTACTGTTGTTCTCACCTTTCTTCCGTGAAACTGAGAAGCCAGAGAATTGCTGGTACTCCCAACTCAGAATGAAGTCCATGGCATTTGAATGGAGTTGACTGATCTGTGGACAGAATTCCCTAGTCTTTAACAGTGGTGACATTTGCTTTCCAGAAACAAATAAAAGACTATAAACTGAATGTCTGATGAAAGTGATCTTTGACATTAGTCACGACATTAGCTGTTCTTTCTGCAGCACCGCAGTTGTGTTCTACGTGCAGAACGGGCATCCTTCCACGGTGATCAAGGCATCAGATGTCTCACGAACTCTGCATGTGCAGCTCTTGAAACAGAAGGCTGACTTTCTGCTTTTTAAAGTCCTGCGAGTTGACACAGCTGGTATGTTTTGGATCTCAGAACTTTGCAAGCATTTGGCTAGCACAGCACCTAGAAACAGTGCATGAAGGCCTTCTGTCTGCCATCTGGTGTCTGGGCTTGGGTGTAGCTTCCCAAAAGATGATGTTGAAGACAGTACTTAAAATGCTTTGTGATTTGTGGTAGATTGGTGCCACTTGTGTTCTTTTAAAAGACATCATCTGTAACAGCAGACAAAAGCACGTCCTAATCTGGTCTGCATCATGAAGACCTGGGGAATGAGGCTAAAGATCATAGAATCATAGAATTTAAGGGTTGGAATGGACCTTACAGATTATCTAGTCTCAGCCCCCCTGCCATGGGCAGGGACACCTTCTCACTAGATCAGGTTGCTCAAGGTTTCATTCAAACACTGCCAGGGATCGGGGTTGCACCATGTCCCTGGGCAGCCTGTGCCAGTGTCTCACCACTCTTACAGTAAAAAACTTTATTCTCTCATATAACCTAGACTTTCCCTTCTTCAGTTTGAACCCATTACTCCTTACCTGACATATCATCTTTTCTTGGAAGATGGGTGAAACTTCTCTGGTTCCTTCAGGACTTCTAGTGTTCAGGAAATAGGCATGTAACTAACTTGTCCTTGTCTGCATGTATCAGGCTAAATGACTGGGTGATGGCTGTGTTATAACCTAGTCTTCTAATGTTTACAATGTGGACAGGTTGCTGGGGTTTCTTATAATGAACTACTACTTTTTCCCAAAAAGGTGCTTGAACTTCTAAGCCTATTTTAAAATTCACTAGTAATGTGAACCCTTTACAGTACTCAGATACTACAGATGTGACTTCTCCAAAACTTAAAATCAGGACATAATGATTCAAATACAAACAAAGTCATTGATTATGTAGTAAGTTCTGTCTTTATACTCTGTCAGTATAAATGTACTGGGATTACTGAAATATGTAGATTTCACTTGAAAATATGCGTTAACATTTTTTGATGTAGCAAATCTGCTGCTCTTAAGTTTTAAGAGGAATAACTTTTTATTTTAGCCTGATGTGACACATTGATCTAGCAATAGCTACTTCTGGAAGTATATGAGGTATGTAAACATTCTGGCCTCAGATCCTGTATATAAGTTTTGGCATACTGAAATGCAGTCTAGTTTGGTATGATGCTTGCCTTGTAGTATGTGAAAACCCTGATATTCTCAGGTACTTCAGAAGTTCTTACAAATATGTCAAAGCAAGGACAAGGTCTGAATTCCACAGCTTCAACTCATCTGTATTTCTGGTTAGAATATACTGTTCTTGACCTGCATCCCATTTCAATATTGCTTGCGTAAGATACATTCTTTCTCTTCACAACCAGCAGTCTGATGAACTGTAAATCTATTTGAGACATAACACGAAAGGAAAGGGACTTTTAAAAAAATATTAAAGAGTTACAAACTAGATGCTTTGCCACTAATCTAGTCTCACAGTAAGTGGATGCATGACAAGTTGTCCGTATACACAACTGACCCAATGTTTGATTTTGTTCGTAGCCTGTCTTTTAAAATGCTCTGGACATGGACACTGTGACCCCATAACAAAGCGCTGCATTTGCTACCAGCTGTGGATGGAAAACTTGATTCATCGTTACCTAAATGATGGAGAGAGTAATTGTGGTGAGTTTGGGTGTTGTGGGCTGTATTTCAGGAATAATTCCTTGTCTTGTGAGACTGTTGACTATTTGCTGTCAGGGCTTAGGAGGTAGATGCTGAGGTAAGACTAAAACAATCTCTGGTTTCCAGCCCAACAATACCTTTCCATAGAAAGATATTTGAATAATGTATTGAAATGATAATATCTTGACAGTAGTAGCCTATGCTTAAAATATTTTAGAAGTTTAGAATCACTATTTGAGGAAAAAAGTGTGAAAAGTTTGTCATGGGAGAAAGATCTTGCAACAATTTGCAGCCAGTAGGAGGGGTTGCTGGGTAATCTGGGCATTGTGAAGCTTTTGAGTAGTATTCATCCAGTTGTTGCAAAGCTGAAAAAGCAGCAGCAACTGAGATTCTCTGAGTAGATGGTTGAGGCTTCTGTGCTGGAAGTATGATCTGATCTAAGGACTGACTAAGTCAGTGTTGTGGACTAACCAGTATAATCACCTTCAGAACTTCTGCTTTTTAGCTTGATTAATTCTACTGTTACTTTCAGCTTGCCTGTTGCACATGGGAAACACAATTTAGTTCCACTAACATCATCATGCCTATATTCTGTGGCACACCTAACTTATCATCTAATACTCTCTATTTAAAATAATTTATACTAAAATTTAAATTACATTTGTCTTCTACTTAAGTTGAAATAAAGCTCAGCTCTCTTAGTACTGTACAGGCTTGGAGGCATTTTCTGAGCAATGCACTAGTCTTCAAGTAAATCTGTAAATGCTTATAAGGAGCTTGGTTTAAGCCATTAAGTGACAACAGGATAAGTAGTGAACAAGGACTAACGACAAGGATGGTAGGTTTTAGGTCTGAGCCTGGGACATCCTGCTGCTCTGCCCTAAAGCTTTCTTGTTCCATGGTGTAATAATAACATCAAAAATAATGAGTACACACATGTTAAAGTTCATATGGTTGCATATCTCTCTGTATCCTCCCGTTTTCCTGGATTTATGATTGTAGGTGTGTGGGTAGAAGGATCAATCTCTAATCAGCTGCTCTTTTAAAGCATTACTGGAATGCCAGGCCCAGAGTACACCTATGTTTATTTCAGTTAGAGAATGGTAACTGAGGTGGTAGCCATGCCCCTTCACATGACTCTCAGTTCCTGCATAGACTTCGGGTATCTTGGGATGGTAAAAGATACTAGAGTAGAAGAAAATTTTCTAACATACACTTTCAGTCTTAAAGCTTAAGAATTTTTAGGGATTCTTCTGAGAATACAAAGGTTCTGAGTTTTCCTAAGTTCCTGTTGCCACTCCTCATTCCTCAGGACTGGTTATTTTAATAGAGTTGTATTAGAAATTATTCTATTTTTATGACTTCACAAACCACTGTTGTGTTTCTTTTTTCAGAGTGGAGTATACTCTATGTGACTGTATCTGTTTTTACTTTGATTGTGGTCATGGTAGGGCTCGTCTGGTTCTGCATCTGCTGTTGCAAAAGGTACATGATTTGTGTTTCTTTTTGATGGGGTATATGCAAAAACCACACACAACTGCCAGATTTTAGTCCAGTCCTTAGCACTAAACTGGTGCTAAACTAGAAGAAGGCTCTTCACTCAGAGAGTGATTGGGCACTGGAACAGGATCCCCAGGGGAGTGGTCAAAGCACTAAGCCTGACAGAGTTCAAGAAGCATTTGGACAATGCTCTCAGGCACATGGTGTGATTCTCAGGGATGTCCTGTGCAGGGCCAAGAGTTGGACTTGATGATTCTTGTGGGTCCCTTCCAGCTCCAAATATTCTGTGATTCTGTAAACCACTGAACTCTCTTTGGACATTTGAGGAACTTCCTATAGCTGTTTCTATAGAGGCACCCTTTTGTTGGAATAGGGAGTATCCATTTGTATGTCTGTGCTCTCCTGTCTTACAAAAACCAAAAAGCTAATATTGCAGTATCCTTCATATTAAGTGATAATTAATGTCAAATTGCTGAGAGTATACTGCAGCTCATCATGATCTCCCACTGAGTCCTCCAGGTACTCCATGCTAAGAAAAAAGAGGCATGACCTGAAGGTCATTGATGTGGGATTGTTCTAGGTCATGGGAAAGGAACTGCTCCCTATCTGATGTCTCCCTTGGATGGGAGGGGAAGAGAGGTGGGCTGTGTGTGTCTGACAGGGAGAGTACTCCAGTGATCTCAGTCATGCAAAATTCTTGCTTCCTCTTTCCTTAAACAGTTTTGTCTACTACTAAATGTTGTTTGCTGCTCTGCCCCCACCCCCTGCAGTCTTTCCTAGTGAGCTGATAAGAAATTCTCTTTCAAATGACAAGCCCCTGCAAGTTCTGTCATGTAGAGCAAGTGTTTTTGCTGCAGCTCTAACAGCTCAGCAAATAGATAGCTTGTTCAGGCATTAGCAAAAAAAAATGCCATCAAAATCTTTCTGCATTTTCAACTTTTTCTAGGGTGTCTTTGCAGTATGTAGAGGATGTGTGGGAGTTGATACTGATTTTCTTTTTATGGTTGAAGGAACAGCGCTGTTAGCAGAAAGCTTTAAATAGTAAAGTGTATCCCACTCCACCTTCATGGTGGAGGGTGGAGAAGCACAGGCTTGTGTAAATTTTATGATAAAGGGATGTTTAGGAGTTCAGCTGCTTCTGTCCTTTTTCCCTCACGTGGCTGTGTCAGAGAGTGAGAGCTGGTTGATTTAGATGCATTTGAAAAAGAGGAGGGAAATATTGCATGGGACAGAATGGCAAGAGATTCTCTTTGCCTTGCGGAAACTACAGGAAGAAGATACACTGTAAACCTAAAATTTGGCTGGAGTTTTAGAGATTTTAAAGCCTTTAAGTTGCCAAAGGAACCCCATTTTTTTGGAGGAGCTTAGGGCAGGGACCAAGTGGCTGGTTGTTGCTGTGATGTTGACTGAGCAGTAAGAAGGCTTCTCTGTGAACTGTGGGCGCTAACAAATACATGTCTACTTTGTCTGTAGTTACTATGTTGAAATTTAGCAAACTGAACCCTTGTGGTCTAGGGAAGCAGATCAATCTGTCTTGCTTTCTTCATCTTTGTATATCAGAGAGAAAAGAAACTAAACTGTCTTGTTCAGATTGTACAGCTGCGTTATGCAGGTCTAAACTGGAAAAACTATTTTTAAGTGGAGGTGAGAAAGTACAATGATGGTATATTGGGTATGTGTATGAAAAGGAATAGGAAGTAGATTTATCTCTGTACAAGAGAATTAAATGTCTTTATGGTAACTTTCTTTTTAGCAGAAAGAGGACAAAGATAAGAAAGAAAACAAAATATACCATCCTAGATAACATAGATGAGCAGGAGAGAATGGAGCTACGACCCAAATATGGTAAGTGCCATATGGTAAGCTGGGAACTATCCACCAAGCAGACTGTCAATGTATCTGAATTAATACCCGTAGTCAGGAGGAGCCCAGAAGCTGGCCTGCAAGTTGGGGAATGGCAGAGGCAAACAGACAGTGGATTGGTTGGGGGAGAATCCCTTCGTTTCTTCATGAAGCCTTGGGCTCAGCCACTGCTCTGAGCTTCTTAGTCTTCATTTAGAACATCTAATTGTCCCACAGACTTTCTCCATGTAACCCTTCCTCCTCTGCACATGGAGTAATGTTTTTGGAGCTGTTTTTATTGCTGCACAGCAATAAAAAGTAATTGCTGACCCATAAGTGCCCTGTTAATCATCAGTAGATTTCAGCTGCTGTTCATATATATTTTGATTTACTGAGTCTCAGTTTTTAGCAGGGGAAGTGTTGGAATCCAAGGAAATAAAATCATACTGGGAAATTTCTGCCCTAGAAAGACAGAAATAACATTTCTGTAGAAACCATGACCTTTCATTGCTGCTCATGTTAATAAGATAGTTGAGTGGAGAGACTAATTTCCAGATTTGAGTTATTAAAAGTACATTAGGTATGTACTAAGATAATCTAATTATTTCAAATTTAAGTGCATATAGTCACATTTCAGAGCCATAAACTGATGGGCCTGCAATGAAGTTGGAAGAGTATCTGCCTGACAGTAGATGACACTTTCTAAGCCAGTTCTTATATTGATGGTGGCAGTGGTGCACACTTACATTGCATTGCTGAGAATGTCCTCACCTCTCATACTACAGCAGAGGAGGGGATGGTTAGTTGTTACTAAAAGTCAAGCTTTTCTAATGGATTTGTTTTGCTTTTTTATTGTCAGGTATAAAACACAGAAGTACAGAACACAACTCCAGTCTGATGGTCTCTGAGTCAGAGTTTGATAGTGATCAGGACACTATCTTCAGCAGAGAAAAGATTGAAAGAGAAAATCCTAGAACACTTATGAATGGATCCATCAGAAATGGAGTTTCCTTCAACTACAGCTCCAAAGACAGATAACTGAATGAGGGTAAAAGCACAGAACATGCTGGTCTGACGCACCTGAAACATGTTGGCCCACCTCTGTTTTTCCAGAACCAAAAGCTTCCTAAAATATCAACTAATTGCAGATGAAAGGACAAATTTCTATCACAGGTAGGGGAAGGAAGGAGAAAGGATTAGATGGTCAGCTAACTCTTCTGTTACCATTATAGGAACCATGAAAAGGACATCTTATTTCTTGCATGTTCCATGCTGAATGTTTGTCTGAACTTCAGAAGGCCTTTTTTTCTATATCACTGCTACAAAACTACCCAGGGCTGTTACACTACAAACTATGGTAACTAACAATGGCATTCAGATTCTTGTCCTGTATTTCTAGTGCTCTCTTGGAGAAGCAGTGTGATTTATAGCAGCTAAAGCCAACATAGATAAATTCCCTTAAAACGGTAGAGAGCAATATGTGGCTACAGGCTCCACCTTGATTTTCAGTTTAGGAGGGAAACACAGAGTGCATTTTTAGTGCATTGTGTTTACCTGACTGTTCTTTGTTACTTCCTTTTCTAAGGCAGTGTTCATTGGGTGAAAATGTCTTTGTTTTCAAAGAAAGTGTAAAATTAGCAGTTGCACTGAATCTGCTGTAGTGTAATGTAATCTGTGTCCTGGAGGATGCAGTGTTCCCTGTATTTACATAGAAGAGATGTTGTCTGCAGTCCAGCCTCAGGTTGCTTCTGTAATGAAGAAAATGCTTTGGCTCTGCCACATCCGTCCAGGAAACTGTAGCAGAAAGGCAGGACAGACTTGGTGTGATGCACTTTTGGAAGCGTTTTGAGCATCCCAAACAACTTTTTGTTTAGAGAGCACTTTTGAGGAGCTCTGGACCTTTTCAGACTGAATGCTCAACTGAGATGACTTTTCATCTGTCAGCCTCAGCGCTCAGTTTAAAGACTGTGCCAGGCACTTGTGTAGTGAAATGCTTGTGGCAGATACCCTTGTGTGGAACTGGAGGTTCAACACCTACCCTCATTGTTATGGAAACCAGTACTGCTTTTAGCTTGAACCTTAGATTGGGGTTTTTTCCCTCTGTGGCTATTCAGTGACTGGATGTCTTGGCCTAAAGAGATCCTTTTAGGTGTTTGGGAGGGGTAGCTGTGTTGAAGTTCTGATGTTCTTGGTCACAGTCTTGGTGGTTTCTTTACAGCATGTTTGTTCAGCTTTAAAATTATGCCCCCAGTACTGTTTTCGAAGTCCCAAACTGACAACCTGGCTTTTAGACATAAGTCTCACTTGTGGGGACATCTGTCAGTGGTACTGTTTAGCCACGGTATTAGCTTTTCCTGGGGGGTCCTCTACTGCTGTGCTGGAATCTTGAGATGGAAGAATGATGTGTTCTGGTGGAGAAAACATTCCTCTGGGAGCGTTTTGGAGAGGGTGGGGTTTTTTAAACTTTTTTGATTTTTTTTTTTCAGTCCAGTGATAGAAAACCCATTGTCAGAAAGGGTGGAACAGTACAGAGATGAATGGGAGCAGTTTAGGACGGTCAGGGAGGGGATATAGCTCATCTCCATAATGAGGAATAATTTAGTGGAGAATTTGAGTCCTTTCATAGAAATCTGCCAGAATGGAGTAGCTGAACACTATGGCTGCTGTGCTTCCCTTGTTATTGGAGTTGGGCAAGCAACAGTCAGGGGAATCATCCAGGTTGGAAGGGATCAGTAGTCTCTAGTTGCAGCAAGACATCATGCTCGTAACCTGTTTCATACCTTTGACTCTCAAATGTAGTCAGCAGCAGTCCCTAAGGCTACTAGTGTGGCACCAAGGAGCATTTACCCTGTGCCCAGCCCTGCATTTCTCTGGAGAGCTTTGTGTGGCTGCAGGAGCCATTGTGGTGGCAGAGGCTGTGAAGAACTGAAAAGGGCTAATACAGGTGTTGTCTGTGTTTTTTCCATACCCACCAGCAAAGTGCAGTATAAATGGTATGATTTGCTTTCTTCAGAAGCTTAAGTTTTAGCTCTGTGTATGAGGGATTTAGGCTGTTTATTGAAACAACTCTACTTTCACACTCTCCCCACCTTGAGAGTGTGTGTGTATATGTATATATATTTTTAAATAACTTGGTCAATAAAAACAAGATCAGCTTCTGTTGTCTTTCAGTTTCTGCTCCAGATGTGTTAACATAATAATGCAGTGTTCCCTTTAAAGTATTCCTGAAGAAAGTTAAGGCCCACTCAAACCATTTGAAATCCAAATGTTGGGCTTAATCCATTCTGCACAAATTCCCAGAATGTTCTAGCAGAAATCATGCTCTTGGAAACATGCATTTTTAAACAAGCAAACAACTTGCTTAAGCAATTTCAACTTTGTATTTGCCAAGCTGCCATTAATGCTTCTGCTGAATACTGTATCCAGTGTGCCTTTATCTATAAGCTTACCTTTTAGGACATGTCAGTGCAGTCAGCAGCATCTGTCAGTTTTGTAAAGTCAGTCACTTACGTGTGTTGGGCTTATTTACTTTTTTAAAGCTGGTGCTGGAGCCTAGGAGGTTGTTCTTTCAAGGAAATAAAATTCAGACATCTTTTTTTCAAAAACAAAAGTAAAAGACTCATTCTCTAGTTGGTAAAACAACTACAGGAATAATAAACTTGCATTCCTTAATGCTGCAGAATTCCCAGGGCTATATTCCCCTTCCCACAGTCATGCTATGGGCTTGAATCTTTGGATCTTGCATAAGGCCCTAGCAAGTGGAAGTTGCTTACTAAATTCTCTTCTCTAGATGATGTTTTGACATCTTTGTTGCTAAAAGTATTTTAGTTTTGTTTTCAAAATTCAATATAGTTTTAATTTTTGATCTAATTCTACTAGCTTGATTATTCCACTAATATAGTTTTAATTTTTTATCTATTTCTAATTCTACTAGCTTGATTATTCCACCTTCTTGGAAAGAGAAGTTATTCCTCTTACCATAAGATCAGGTTTGCTCTTTATATATGGAACTTGCACAGAAGTTGAAAGCAGTAATTTCTGGCTCTGTAAATTTGTGATATCCCATGTTTGTGTCACTTGGCCAAGCATGCTTTTGTCAGGAATTTAGGAGAGATTATAGCAAGCCTTGCGTTTTGATTCAGTATAATTTTTATTTCTACAACCACAGCTTTCTTGCAGAATGTCAGGTCATACAGGGAATGAAAGGGTCAGAAAACTAGCTGTTAAGGTGAAAACACAATGGCAGAATTCTTATTCTAACCTTCTGGTTTGGGTTATTATGGGTTTGAAGCAGGTTCTCGGTCCTCGTGTTTACTTCCACACTGTTTTCCTTCATGTACTGGCAGCTGATTTGTAAAATAGGTATGGGGCTATTCTCAACAGTCTGATCTGCACTGAAAAGCAGAGGAGACTAGATAGAGCTTGTCACATATGGCTGAGACTCCACTGAAAATAAATAATTCAGTTTAGCACTGGTAAGATTCTGCCTGTTGTTGATGGCAGACAGTATGCTGATACTTGCAGTGCCTCATAGGCTTGATATGTAAGCACTGGATTTTCATTTGCATCTTGGTTTTACATGCACAACCAGAGATTGTCCAGCCCTGTAAAAGGACTGCCTTTGTTTGCTTTTAAGGAAGATGTATATTTTTGGGAAAAAAGCTTTCTTACCATTACTGCCTGAGGCAGTAAACAGGTTCAGTGCCCATCTTCAGTGTTCAATGCAGTGTACACACAGCATGAAACTGCCATTGCTGCAAACAGGTCATTGGCTTGTGTTTTTCATTTTCCTAACCAAAATGGTACTGCAGTACTAAACAGAATTTACCTTGGCAAATCTGCTGGGATCCGCATCCAAATTCTCTGTCCCATGGTTCAAACTGTCAAATTAACTAGAGAAAACAAAGCAAAATGTGATCTGTCTAATTACAGAGAATTTTATTTGGGAGGGGGGAGAAGTTATTCTTGTTTAATATGTAACAACATGTTGTCAACTCTCTTTTTAGGTAAGCAGTCTTACTCTCCCTGTCAGATGCATCAAATACAAGTACTGTTCAAGCATCTGTTTTGTGCTGTCAGCTGTTTACTTACATGATGTCGGTTTTCCTTTTCTTGATCTCTTGTGGGCAAACAGAAGTGTGTACATGTGCAAAGAACTTAACAGTGTGTGAACTTAACAGAGTGAGTGTATGTGTGTTCTCCATGCCGGATGCAAACTTTCCTTAAATAGTCTGATGTTCTTGAAATAACTTCTGAGGGAAATGTCCTGTTTCTGCTTTTAGCCTCAAGTGAAACTAGTTTTGGCCCCCAATATACTGATGATGGGCAGTAGCCAGATGGAGCTTTGGGATGGTGATAATAAAAAGAGGGTTACAATAGTCTTCTGCCATTTATGTGAGGTTTGAGAGAGGTAAACATTCCTCTAGAAGGGAAATGAGATAGAGGTGAATTAGTTTTTTAACATCAGTTACTGCGTATCATTGAGCCCTAACTAGAATACTTATCCCATACTTCTGCAGCAGAGAAAAACCCATTTCACATACCTTTTATGTCCTGAACTCCCCCCAAAGGAGGGGAACTCAAAGTTTAGAAATAAGATTTTTAAAAGGAGGCAGCAAAGGCAAATGATTTTTGCACCGGCTACGAATCAAGTGCAGATGAGCTGCACATCTGTATTTTGTCTCTGTATGGAAGCACTTCTCTCTGTGGGTGAATGAGTGAGTTTTACAGAATTTATATTAGGAATCTGTTTCTAGAAAGTGTTATTTATTGCAAATGCTGTTGTATTGTATTTGGAACCATTTCTGGGCTGAAATTACTACATTTATGTAACTACTAATAAAGTTTTGTCTTTCCTTCTAGGAACTTGTCAGGTACTCTTTCAGGCATGGTATTCTGTATTGGACTCAACACTCAGGCCAGGCTAACAGATGTATGTTGTATACCATAGCTTATGTCTGTATTCAAACATAAAAGTAGTGCAGTAGCTGATCCTTTCCCTTCCTACTGTCAGAGGACATAATTCAGTACATCAGAGA